CCTGCCAGTGCAGGGGACACGGATTCAAGCCCTGGTCCGGGAGGATCCCACATGCCGCGGAGCAGCTAGGCCCGTGCGTCACGACTACGGAGCCTGCACTCTAGAGCCCGCAAGCCACAACTACTGAGCCCGCGTGCCACAACTACTGAAGCCCGCGCGCCTGGAGCCCGTGCTCCGCCACAGGAGAGGCCACCGCAATGAGAGGCCCGCGCACCGCAACGAAGGGTGGTCCCCGCTCGCTGCAACTAGAGGGGGCCCGGGCGCAGCAACGAAGACCCAACACAGCCAAAAATAAATAAATAAATTTGTTTTAAAAAATGGGGTTGCCAGGCAACTGTAAATGTTGAGATGTATGAGGGTAAGGATGAACGGTTCAGGAATCTGAGAAACACGACCTGAGTAAGGCTGAAGCACAGACTCCCAGAGCCCATCATTCAACAAGAGTGGAACACAGAGTAACTTCGGAAATGTTTTCTTCAGAGACGCCACGCACTTTGCTCTGACTCCTCAGCCTCTCCTCACAGAAGAAAAGTCCTTCCTTCAAGACGATCTCAGGCACACTAGGGTTTAACTGGACCAATCAGATGCAGGGAGGCGGGGCTCGTTTTCTGTACAGCCTGAAGCCCGCCAAACGCCCTGACACCTCTGCGCATGCTCAAATACTTCCGCTCCTGGCACGCTCTTTGGAGCGGTTCGCGCATGTGCGAGAGCGAGACGTAGATGTTTGTCCCAAGGCCTTCCCGTACCGTCCAGGCGGAGGGTCGCCTCCTGGTTTCGGAGTGTGTACGGCGTGTGTTAGTTGTTCTCCGGCAGCAGTTGCCACTGCGGACATGAACCGCGAGAGCTTCGCGGCGGGCGAGCGGCTGGTGTCGCCGGCTTACGTGCGGCAGGGCTGTGAGGCCCGCCGCTCGCACGAGCACCTTATCCGGCTGCTTCTGGAGAAGGTACCGAGCTTTCGGGTCCCTCCCCAGCTGCCGCGCCCCCCAGGCTTCGGCTCCGCCCAGCGCCCCTGTTAGTTCCAGGACCTGCCTCACAGGCTCGTGTTTGCTGGTTGAGCCCTGTCCGCGGACTCTTTCGCAGTTGGGCATGCCATATGCCGGCTTGCGCCGTTCAGCTCCTTCTCAGCCTCGCCAATGCTGGCAAAAACCCAGAGAGTGTTAATAGGGGATGTGGGGAGTTCGGAACGTCGAGCCCCCCCCCCCTTTTTTTCCCCTAACTTCGGGTTGGGGAAGCGAGGGGAAGGCCGGCATGATTTACTTTTTTGTTTGCGTATAGGGCAAAGTTCGTGTCTTCCAGCTTTCACTACTCCTGGGGAACACATTATATTTATAAACTACGATATACTAACTCGAAGCAGGTGTTGCTTAGGAACTTCACAGGTCTCGTTCTTGCCAGCATCCTGAATTTTAATGTCATTGAAGTTTGACATCCCTAGTTCTAACACCCTGGTGTGAAAAATCCTAGTTGAAGATAAGGTTTATTCGTTTTCAGTTACTTTTAACTGCAACTTTAAACCTCAGTAATCTCATTGTATTTATCATCACTTCTCGCAGCATCGTGTGGATAATTGTAATATAGTGTAACACAAACATTTTGCCTATTCAGAGTTTTTTCAGAGTGCTGAATTTATGTCTGAATTTTAGAAAACGAGGAGCATGGCAAAATGTGCATGGAAAAGTTTTAAAGTTCATTGAAGTAGGGTTCTGGGGAATGATGGTTTCTTTTTTCTTTTTGCGGTACGCGGGCCTCTCACTGTTGTGGCCTCTCCCGTTGCGGAGCACAGGCTCCAGACGCGCAGGCTCAGCGGCCATGGCTCACGGGCCCAGCCGCTCCGCGGCATGTGGGATCTTCCCCGACCGGGGCACGAACCCGTGTCCCTTGCATCGGCAGGCGGACTCTCAACCACTGCGCCACCAGGGAAGCCCTGATGGTTTCTTAAATATAGTCATAATCCTTTTTTTGTTTTCTTAAGGGCAAGTGTCCAGAGGATGGTTGGGATGAAAGTACACTTGAACTCTTTTTACATGAACTTGCAATCATGGATAGCAACAATTTCCTGGGCAATTGTGGTGTGGGAGAAAGGGAAGGGAGAGTGGCATCTGCATTAGTTGCTCGGCGACATTACAGGTATGATTTTTTTAAGTACAAAGCATTTCCTTTTCCCTTTTTTCTTTCTTTCTTTTTTTTTTGTTAAAAACAATGGTGGCAGTATTAATCATATTAAATTATAAAATGTCCGTTTGTAACCTACTTCTTGTATAAATGGGCATGTGAACTAGATGCAACAGGGAGATGGAAACAATGTATCTGAGTAGGTGCTTTTCAGGACAATAGGGTAAAAGTTCTAATATGAGGTGGTTATACCCTGTCAGCTTGTGGGTGATTAAGGATACTGGCTGTACGTTCTGTTAAGAATGTTTGTACTGTCTTTACATTCTGTTAAGAGTGTTTAACCTAATAAACCTATTTGGTTGTTAAGAGTTTAAAATATGCTAAGGTGGTTTATAGTTTTCCATGTTTCTTTTCTAACGTGGCAAGTTTTTTTAGAGAATGGTATATTTATAGAACTTTAACGTCATTCATCTGCATCTAAACTGAATCCCATTTTATAAATATCTTGCTTGTTGTAGTAGATGTAGGAAAGGTGTATTATAATTTTAGATTATTAAGTCACTTTTTTGCATTGTTCAGAAAGCTTTTCATCAATTCTGATAACCATTTAGTTGTTAGTGGTTCCAAATATGATCATTTCTCTGTTCTCCAGCCTTTCTCTGAAATATAGGTAAACTGTTTAAAACTCCTGTCTTCCATGATTTTAAATCATGATGAAATTTTCCTAGGAATAGTAGAATTTTATTTCAACCGAAACTATTGCAGTCAAAACTAATGATAATGAATGTATGACCTGGATGAAAAACTAATGGTTAAAAATAAGGTGATAACATAGTTGATAATATATGTAAAAAAATGCTTAGTATGTGAGGTTGCAGTGGTAATAGAGTGTGACACGTGTTCTGTGATAATTCCAGTGTGCAGAATTTCTGATCTAGGCAACTAAAAATGACAAACAGATTTTTGATTTTGAAGTGTATTCAGAGGTATCTTTAAATAGTGTATAACATGATTAAATTTAAAATGAGTGGATTTGCACACTAATTTTCAAGGAGCATGTACTTCTTCTAAACTTAAGGCAGTATTTGAAACATCAGCTCATCCCTGTTAGAAGTTAGCTCACTGCTCTGATTAGGGAAATGGGAAGAAAGAAGAGAATTTAATGTTGCATATATCCTGGTTTTCTATTGCTGTATAACAAACCACCTCAAAACATAGTGGCTTAAAATAGTCATTTATTGTTACCTCTGACAGGTTACCTGGACTCAGCAGGTGATTATTGCTTCAGGTCTCTCATGTAGTACAGTCAGGTGTTGGCTGAGAGTTTAGTCATCTGAAGGTTCAACTGGGCAGTTTATCCAAGTTGAGTCACTCAGATGGCTGGGAGCTCAGATGGCCTCTCCAAGTGGCTTGGCTTGGGCTTTCCCCAGCATAGCAGCTGGCTTTGAAGAGAGGACCCCCTGCCACCCACCTCCCCTTGAGCAAACCCTTCACGAGGCCAGATAGAAGCTGTAAGGCTTCTTATGACCTAGCTCAGAAGTTCCAGACCATCACTTCTGCTAGATTCTTCCAGATCAGGCAAGTCACTAAGGCCAGCCCAGATTCAGGTAGAGAGGAATTAGACCCCATCTCTTGGTGTGGCAGTGGCATATGGGCATAGGGAGAAAAGGAATTGATGGTGGCCATCATGAAGACTAGCCACCACAGCATACTTGATGAATTTGTTTTGATTTAATTAGATATTTTCACATTATTAGTAGTCAAGTATAGTGTTTATTTGGTTATTGTATTTGTGTACTTATACAATGGATTACTTAGAACACTGAATATTTTTGTCCAGTTGTTGGCCATTTTTTGCTTAGGTTCATTCATGGAATTGGACGATCGGGTGATATTTCTGCTGTGCAACCCAAAGCTGCAGGTTCTAGCCTTTTGAACAAAATTACCAATTCTTTGGTCCTGGACATCATAAAGTTGGCTGGTATGTACTGTGTTAATCATAATACTTTTGGCTGACTAGTCACACAAACCTTTGCCTAATTTCTTTTATTAATGCTTCTCTCCAAAAAGAGTATAAAATGGCTTTTGAAAAGACAAATATATATATAAAACTTTTAGAATAAGATAGAAAATCAGAGCCATAAGCCTGGAGGATGAATTTAGCAGTGAGCTTCCTGAGTGTGAGTACAGAAGAATAAGCACTAAGTCTGTTAACTCTTTTTATTTGATAGAAGTATATCATTTCTTTAAGAAGGATGCTGTTTTTTAAGTGGAATAACTAATTTCTGTTTTTCTTCTTATTTGTAGGTGTCCATACAGTGACCAACTGCTTCGTAGTTCCGATGGCAACTGGTATGAGTCTAACCCTATGTTTCTTAACATTACGACACAAAAGACCAAAAGCAAAGTACATTATATGGCCACGAATAGACCAGAAGTCCTGCTTTAAATCCATGATCACTGCAGGTAAAAGAAGAGAAGTAACATATATGTTTTTCAATGTCACAGAAAATTCAAACTTTTTGTATAGAGCTAGATAAATGAAAAAGAAACTAAACCTGTTCCTATTCCTTCTTTTTATTGTGGTAAAATATACATAACAAAATTTACCCTTTTAACGAAACAGTTTTAAATGTATAGTTCCTTGACATTAACTACATTCCTCTTGTTGTGGACCATCACTGCCATCTCTCTACAGAACTTTTTCATCCTCTGAAACTGAAACTCTACCTATTAAACAATAACTCTTCCCTCCCCACCACCCTCAGTCCCTAGCAATCACTATTCTACTTCCTGTCTCTATAAATTTGTCCTTCATATAGGTGGAATTATAGAATATTTGTCCTTTTGTGACTGGTTTATTTGACTTAGCATAATGTCTTTAAGGTTCATCCATGTTATAGCATGTGCCAGAATTTCTTTCCTTTTTTAAGACTCCCATTGTATATATATCCCACATTTTGTTTATTCATTCATTCATTCACTGGTGCACACTTGGGTTGGGTTGCTTCCACCTTTTGGCTGTGGTGAATAATGCTGCTATGAACATGGAGGTACAAATACCTGTTTGAGTCCCTGCTTTGAATTCTTTTCAGTACACTCTAAGAAATGGAAGTGTTATGTCGTATGTCCCTATTCTTTAAAATGGGGATATGATTACCTGCCTCAGAAGACTGTTTTCAGAATTAAGTGGGATGACATATGAAATGCCCTGGAGCATAAGAGGTGCTTTAGGAATGTTTGTTCTGTATATATGAGTGGAGTACACATAAATAATTATCATGAATCAGAGTACAAGGATACAGGCATCTTTGAGTATAGATGAGACAGAAACTTTAAGTTGGTATTTTAATATTTGGCTTGCTTAGGTCAAGTTGAATTTGAGAATTTAAAGTTATTTTTTGAATGGCCTCAGTCTGTTGTATGAAATGAACAGTATTGGGCTGTAATTAAACTGCATAAATAATCCTAAAGAAACTCGTGTAAAGGGATTCATAATAAGGACATATAGCAGAAATGGGTAGACTATTAAAAGGTTTATCTTAAGTGGCATAAAGCTGTCAAGTCTGTTAATTTGAAAACTATTAACCAAAGAACTGATAACCAAACTTATAGAAAGATTGACATATTGAAAAACTGTAAACTTTTTCCAAATGATGTTATGACTTGGACTGTGTTATGTTCTTAGGAAGCAAGATGGTTGTATTCTTGAAAAAACCCCGAAAACTTGCATCATAGTTGTTTGAAAACAAAAATAGGGTTGAGTGTAGAGAATTTGAGAAATAATAGAGAATTAACTGTCTTTAGGAAGTTACTTATTTAAGTAAAGTTTTCTTTGTTTTAATAGCTGTATAGATATGAAACCTAGAGTTCTGTGGACCACCGTATATGAATTGATGATTTTATAGTGGCTGAAGTTTTATATTTCTGTAGATAGAATGCGGATAACTTGATGTGGATTCTAAAACAGAAGACTACCTGCCTGTAACTTTGCTTTAAATTGCTGTGTGACCTTGGGGAAGGCACTTAATCTTCCTAAACTTTGGCTCCCTTATCTTTGAAGTGAGTGAGTTGAGCTAAATGGTTTCTGAATCCCTCATAGCTCTTAAATCCACAAATCTAGCCTGCTGCTAGATCTGGTATTTGAGAAGACTGAAGATGTGAGTACATAACTCGCGTGCAAGACGATTTTTATATTTAAATTATAGAAGGCTTTTGTAAGCTATGAGATAGGTCTACTAAAATGTCTTATATTTTTCTTTAGAGGTAAAACATTAAGTTGATGATTGTGATTTGTTTCAATACTTGAACTATTATTTTTGTTCATCTCTGAAATAAAGAGAAATTTAAAATAAAACTTAAATGTTGCCAGAGAATGAGTAGATTTACTTTTCTGTGGACTGAAATTGAACTGGGCTAAGTGACCCTTTTTGTCATCAGTGACTCTTTATTACTTTTGTAGGCATCTATTTAACGTTTGCTTCCTTACTTCCCAGAATTAGTCTTTCGTGTCATATCAGAATGTTAAGTAGATTTGTGGTCTAGATGCCGCTCCGCAGCATGTGGCATCTGGGATCTTCCCAGACCGGGGCACGAACCTGTGTCCCCTGCATCGGCAGGCAGACTCTCAACCACAGCGCCACCAGGGAAGCCCTTGACCTGCCTTTGACTCATGCTGGTATTAAGCCAGGTCTTTATTATTAGAGAAGGGTTCATTGACTAGAATAAATGTTTAAGAGTTTTTGTGTAGAATAGCACTGCTTCCTAGAGTCCACAATCTCCCCTTATTTTAGTTTATACTAACATTTTGGTTTCTGGTTGACTTGGTTAGGTTTTGAGCCCGTGGTGATAGAGAACGTTTTAGAAGGTGACGAGCTGCGCACAGACCTGAAAGCAGTGGAGGCTAAAGTCCAGGAACTTGGGCCTGATTACATTCTTTGTGTTCATTCTACTACATCCTGTTTTGCTCCAAGGGTGCCTGATAGGTAAGTGATTTGTGAATATTGTCCTTCAGTGTTCATCAGTCTTTTACATAAAATGCACTTATACTAATTCTCAAAGATGCCTAAATAACATTTGGCAGTAAATACTACGTGAATGGACTGTTGAAGAAACAGCAAAATGGCTTGGGAAAATAAAATGTAGATACAGAGGAAGGAAAAACAACTAGTACCAAGTGGAGATCCTTTTATCACCTGAGTAGATGCAGAACATCTCTGTTTTCTTGCTCTTCTTTATGTTTCTGGACATCTCGCATCTTTTTCCTTATTGTTTAATAGAAATCTCTAAGCTAAATTTTGGATTTACATACTTGTTTTTATTGCCATCTCCACTTTGATCTTACAATTAGTTTTCATATATAGAAACTATCAGTATTAACAGATTTTAAATAGAAAATTTTAGGATTATTGTCCTCTAATTTTTTTTAATTGCAAGACTAACTCAGATATACAGTTAGGTATATAATTGTCTTTGCATTTTGAGAAAAATGCAGATATTTAAGAAAAAATTTTTTAAAAAGGCAAAAATGTTTGCTCTTCTGAAGGATGGCCGCAAACTTTTATTCTGAAGATGTAGTAGGCTTAGGTATAGTAATAAATATTTCTAGTTTTGACAGCAACTGTTGGTTTCATTTTAACATTTTGAACAAAAGTGCTAATAATTTGTAAAAAAGCTATTGCTTTGGACTATTTTCATAGCATCAAGTTATACTTTGATTTTAATTCATGGAGTCATATAATTTGGCAGTAATGAATGCATGTTAGCTTTTACTATAGGCAGATTTTAAGAGACAATTTTAAAACACTGCTCTTGAAAATTTACCTTGCTTCATTCATGAGTCTGGATTCTATTTTCAAATCATGCTGCATATGCTTTAGTTGTTTATTCATTACTTATCAATCAAATTTAAAATTTGTATTTAAATATTAAATAAGCATCTTTAGTCTTTCTTCATTGATGGTTTTGCTATCTAGAAAATTTTTAATGTGATTGAAATAAATTACATTTCTAAAAACACCATATGAGTATTTGTATTAGTTAAATTATTTATCCTTGAGGATATCTTTGTTTTTGTTTCATTTTGACTAACTTTTTTTTTAATTGACGTATTTTTAATTGATGTATAGTTGACTTGCGGTGTTGTGTTAGTTTCCGGTGTACAGCAAAGTGATTCAGTTATACATATAGATATATATGTATATATCTATATGTATATATAACATATATACACACATACATATATATGTATATTCTTTTTTGTATCTTTTTCATTATGGTTTATTATAGGGTATTGAATATAGTTCCCTGTGCTATACAGTATGACCTTGTGGTTTGTTTATTTTATATACAGTAGTTTGTATCTGCTAATCCCAGACTCCTAATTTATCCCTCCCCTAGCCTCTT